GCTACTGTATAACATATTTTACAGTCTTCCACAAGGTCCCCTCGGGGAGTGTCCACCTTGTGGAGACCTGCATAAATACCGGGCAGGTAGCCCCCATTAAACAGAACTTCATTTGACCCTCAAGACGGAGCTTGGTCTCGTTTGTGGGGGAATTATTACTGGGACAGCGCTTTCGTTATTTCTAGCTGTGGAAGGCGTTCGACTGGCTGGCTGTTCGGGAGTTGCCGTGTTCGTGGACTTCGTTCGGGAGTTTGGCGATCGGCTGGATTTAAACTGCATTTCTGGAGAAGGGGATTATTGCCTAAACGGTGGCTTCATCTACCCGACGGTACGTGTCGTAACAAGAGGCATCCTATATAAGATATAACAAAGCCAATAATGCTTGCAAAAAGGCAATTAAAGTGGCTAAACTAGAAAAAGAGAAATTGATAGCCAAAGAATGCAAAACCAACCCCAAATTTCTCAACATTCTAAGTGGTTCACTGGGTGACCATTCCTATGCATGAACACATGGCGGCAGCCATCTTGTTTTGTCAAACGCGTCCAGTGGGAATTCGTCATCGAGTGTCTGGAACTATTTTCGGGCATTCGAACTCCCGAACACCGCTGAGACTTCCAGGACCACTTAGATTCGTACTAATTCATCCGAAGGAGGTGGCGTTCAGTAAAACCACCAAACGAACGAGGCGGTGCACGACCAGCAAACTCACGAACAATTATGTAAATGGTTGTTCGGTATTTTTAAACAAACAAAAGGGACCGGCTGCACCAGCTGAATGCATGGAACTATTTTGGGCAGGAACCTTGTATGCGGCCGGGCAGAAATGGGACTTCCACCTATATCCTGAACCCCTGAACCGATTTGCGTGATTTTTTAATATGTTGGTTACCTAATTATGCTCTATCCGAATAGAGTTTTATGGGAATTGGATGTGTGTTTATAATATTTCTGAAAATGTGTAAAAAGTTTCATTTTTTTGCTTGGAGGTAATTGAGTTGATACAGTAATTAACTCAATTATCTCCCAAGCAGAGGGGAGGAATTTACTGTAATGAATGGTAGTGTTTAACTTTGTGATTGTATACTATTGGCTGTTGAATGTATTTTTCGGTGCCCCACAAGGTCCACATGGGTGGTAACCTTGTGGGAAAAGTTGCATAAAAGGCCACCCGTGCATATTAAACTCTTAGATCTGCTTAACCCTCCACACGTAGCCTCGTCTCGTGTTTGTAGGGAACCTGCTTCCAGCTTATCACTAGCTCTTGTAAGAGCTCTGCTATTCTTTCTCGACTAGTTCAGCCGATGGGACATCTGGAGAATACTGCAGCACAGCCTCTTGCAAGGAAAAGGATGTCTCCAATGGCATGCACCCCTCGGATACATAGGGTGGCCATTACACCTTGAATATGCTGTGCAATTTTGAGCACCTATTCCAAAGAAGGATATCATGGCACTACAAAAAGGGCAGAGACGAGCTACAACATTGATACAAGGAATGGAGCATTTTAGTTACAAAGAAAGATTAAAAAATTTAAATCTCTTCACCACAGAGGGGATATGATAACATTATACAAATATATTCGGGGCCAGTACAAACCATTATCTGGAACTCTATTCATAAACAGGGCTATACATAAGACACAAGTTTACACATTTAGGCTGGAAGAAAGGAGATTTCATCTAAGGCAAAGAAAAGTTTTTTTTACAGTAATTTCTAATTAGTGGGGTAATAGCTGCTTGATCCAAGGAGACATCTGACTGCTATTTTGGGGTCAAGAAGACATTTTTTCCTAGTTTGTTGCAAAATTGGAAGTGCTTCAGACTAGGTTTAGATATCAAAAAGATATGTAAGGAAGGCTGAACTTGATGGATGCAAGTCTCTTTTCAGCTATGTAACTATTTAACTACTAACATTAAAATAATGGCAGCAGATTCTGATGCTTCCAAATCTGTCCAAACACCTTTCAACTTTATACCCCCTTACCCACAATCCCCAATTCAGCCCAGGAACACTTAGGGACGCTTTTCATATCTTTCATGACTCTCCATATCTAACTCTGGGAAGGATGGTCCAAAATTAGAGTATCAAACCTCTTACTGCTATCATATCCAACCAAGAACAAACCATCATGATGCAACGCTTAAACTACTCCCAAGTCACACATTTCTTATTCTCTCACCCCACTCTAGTAGATGGCTCCTGTGGCGGGATACTGCCACTAAGTAACATACCCACTGTAAATGCCTATGTGTTTGCCTTGTATTTAGGGCCCCCGGTGTCTATTCTCACCAATTCCCCTTATACTCTATGGTTATTGTTTTATTTGTGAGAGTTTCCCCCTGTGTTATACAATGTATGATGCAGTTCACTTTTCAACCATGCAGGAGCCGGACCACCCCGCTATTCCATTTAGAATGTGTGGTCAGAATGTTCACACCTCGCTAACGAGGTGTGAAAACCACAGACCGCAAGGTAACAAGCGGCGCATGCTGCCCCTGGGTGGCCGCCAGTTTGCATAGCCGAATGCCACCAGGGGGCAGCATTTGTATACTGAACCAGCCTGCGCACCCTGTCTTTGGTCCCTTTTGTCGGGGACCATCCTACTTGCCCCCAAAGGAGATGTAATCACTTGTCCCCTGTCCCCTATCTGGGAGTTACGAGGCTAGGCTCGTGGCTGCCCAGGAGAACGCTTTTTCCAGCGGATGCCTGAGTGTGGGTATCCACCGGAGAGAAGGGCGCGCGCCAGCAGGGAATCCCTGGGGCTGTGAGACGGTCTCACGGTCACAGGGTTCCCGCTGGCAACATGGAAGTCTGTGCTGACCAATGGGAGAAAGAGCGCCCATTCAAACTAGGTTTGCGCCATTCTCCTGGTTGGTCGGCACAAGTAAAGCACTGATTGGTCGTCACACGGAGCAGGCAACCAATCAGAGAAGGAGTGCTTGTTCAAACGCTGTTTTGCGCCCTTTCTTCTGATTGGGTGGTGAAACCCCCCTTGTCCCTGGGCGCTGATTGTCGCGAATTGGTTTCGCACCTTTCAGCGGATTGGTGCAATCGGGTTTCGCGCCCTTTCCCCTGATTGGACAGCGAAACCCCCCTCCTTCCTGAGCACCGATTGATGCAGCTGAGTTTCGTGCCCTTCCTTTTGGATTGGGCGGTGAAACTCCTTCCTCCCCTGAAAGCGGATTGACGCGATTTGGTTTGCACCCTTACAGCTGATTGGCTGTTGCTTGGTTTAGGCGCAAAGTTTAAATTCACCGGACTAAACCAAGCAACACCATGGAACTAATTTCGGGGATGTACAGAGCCTTGAGCCCCAGACTTTCGATGCTGAACTCTCCAGCTCTGTACATCTGATCGCCCCGCTTTTTGCAGGGATCCCAGATGGGTCCCGGGGCTATCTAGCAATATAGGTTCTAACCCTTCCAGGGGCACCAAGCCCCAAAGTGTAACCCCCCTGAATGTGATGTGATTTAAAGTGTGTCCCTGTGTACTGCTCGGTATCTCCTAATGGCTATCTGTAACCCAGCCCCCTCCTGTCTGGGACTATGGGAGGCTGGGTTACAGACCTGCGGGGGTCTGTGCATAAAAGAAACATGTATTCAATAAAGAGTGTGACTCAGCCTGGTGAGAGGCCAGTGATTAAACCTCCAAACTGTGTGGCGTCCTGTTATTGGAGGGAAGGAAGATTTAACCCCTGTGTCTGCTGTTTCAGCTTACAGGGAATTCAGAAGATTTAATCCCTGTGTCTGCTGTTCCATCTTGCAGTGGATGAAAATAGGGGAAAAGTCCTGGTAAGGACTAAGGGCTTCCAGGACTGATACTGATACTAGGAAGTCATCCCGCTACAGCTCCAAAACTGGAACTCAATTTGAAACAATGTGCAGGCTCCACAAAACAAAAACCAAACACCTCTCAACCCTTTACAAACTTCTCCAACAGGACACCTCCCCGGCCCACCCACGCTTTATGTCCTCATGGGAGAGCGACTTGCAGATCACATTCACAGACTCAGAGTGTACCCAGATATTTACCAACATCTTCCATCTCAACCCACAAAAGTAACTATAAAATGATATCTAGGTGGCATTACACACCAGTCCGGATACATCATCTCTTTCCCAACACATCTAACAAGTGTGGGTTGTACCAAATCCAAAGGCACAGCGGAAAGGGGACATATCTGATGGACATGTAGCATTATCCAAAAGTATTGGAAGATGATAACAACCATGATCAGAACCATTACGGAGATTGATCTGCCGATGAACCCTAAAGTGTTACTTATCTTCATATTCCCCTCACCCCAGCCTAAACCACACAAAATCCTTCTATCACATTGTAAGGAAACCAAGTATATTTAAACCTCATTCGGTAGTTTCCTATCGAATCGCCAGAGCCTTAGTGATTATAGCCCTCCGTTCAGTAGATAGGGTAGACGAATCCTATAGCAATTCAAATAGGTTCACCAGATAATTCCCTTAGTGAAACACACGAATCCCCAAACATCAGCCAAAGTCAAGAAGAAGGGTACAAAATGAACTGTCCTTTAATGGGTACACACAGCTTTTATGCAAGTCCCCATGCAAGGGGACAGCCCTCAGGGAGGGACAAACAATAACCAATCACAGGCAGCAAAACGTTAACAGACACCCACAATTCCCTCCCCTAGCCCAGGAGATAATTCAGTCTAATAAAATAGTAACTTAATTATCTCCGGGCTGAAAAATCACTTTTTTCCCCAACATCCAGAACACCCCTTTATACAGGGGTATCCCCATAAATTGAAGATTATGCTAGCTTTAGTGTATCTATAATCTTAATTTTAGTAATGACAGGAGGCGAGTATTTTGCATTAAACTCTCTTTACTAACTCACACAGCAGTAAAGAAAAGTGAAAACATTAACCAATCAAAATGCAATAGGAAGCATAGTATTCACAGAGATAAGGCTCCTCCCCCTCTTTCTAATGCGACATCATGAATACAGGTCCAAAGAGTCCAAAGTTCCATAACAGGCGCCAATGGGCGATAATCCAAAATGAAGGTTGAACAGGCGAAGTCGTCAAGGAGTCCGTCCTGATAATGAGCTGTAAAGCCACGGAATTACACTGAAAGAGAACGTGACATAGGTTAGGAACCGATCTGGAGACTAATTGAATTAAAGGTAACAGCCCATGATTAGTTACAGTAATAACATATAACTGAAAATAACGATAACAGAATACCACGTATGAGAAAATGATCAAGGCTAACGCCAATAAAAGTCCAGAGTGAGCAAACACAAACAGAGACTGAAGCATGCAGAGTCAAACATACTTACGTGAGCCTTATCTTCCAAGGGAGGGATGGGCGGGAAAATACTCGCCTCCTGTCATTACTAAAATTAAGATTATAGGTACACTAAAGCTAGCATAATCTTCAATTTTACCACATGACAGGAGGCTTCATATTTTGCATTTTTAACGCTGATGTAGGAGAGATGAGGCTGCTCCCGAGTTTGGGCGGAAGTAAAATGTCCGAAAGGTAGATTCTCGCGACCAATCCGCCGAGCGTAGGATATCTGTCAGAGAGGCACCCGCCGAGAAGGCCGAAGAAGCTGCCGCTCCGCGGACGGAGTGAACTCCGAAAGTCTCGTCCACTCCTGCCAATGATAGAATCCATCTTATCCACCTGGCGAGGGTAGTGACCGAGACTGGCACGTGTGGCCTAACATAAGATACTAGCAGTTGACCCGAGGAGGAGACCCTGAGAGGGGATGTGACCTCCACATACCGACGTAGGGTAGCCACCACGCAGAGCTGTGGGTCAGATGGGAAAAACGGATAAAAGACCGACGTAGAATCCGACTTCGTCCGACATGAAACTCGAAAGGTAACTCCCTCTGGTGAGACCGAAAAGGCGTCGAAGTCGAAAGCGCGGACGTCCGAGACCCGGCGGAACGAGACAAGGCAGAGTAGGAGCGTAAGCTTTGCCGAGAGTTGTCGTAGGGATAGTCTGCCGTTGTCCGGCCAATCCCTTAGGAATTGTAGGACGACTTCGACGTCCCATAAGCGAGAGTATTTGGGTTGAGGGGGTCTCTGCAACCGAATGCCCCTCAGGAGTCTGCAGACCATGGGGTCTTTGCCTACAGGGATTCCCATGACCGGGTCGTGCGCCGCCGAAATCGCGGAGCGGACAACGTTGAGAGAGCGATAAGAAAGGCCTGCGGAAAAAAGAAAGGAAAGAAAATTCAAAATGGCCGTCACAGGGGCAGTAAAGGGATCGATGTTCCGTTCACTGCACCAAGAGGACCAGGAAGACCAAGCTGATAGGTAACATCGCCTGGTACCTGGAGCCCATGAGTCCCAAATGAGATCTCTAGCTGCCTGCGATAACTCGCTGGTTTGCCAGGCACCCCTGAACGAGTCCAAGCCACTAACACGAGACGGTCTTGTAGAACGAGAGGATGAGGGTTGTCTTTCGGGTCCGTGAGGAGTGTTGGATAGGATGGTATGAGGAGCGGATCCATGAAGGACGATGCCAGGAGGTCCGGGAACCAGGGTTGGCTCTGCCATAGGGGAGCTATGAGGAGAAGAGACCCTCGTTGGGTCTTCAGGTACTGAATCGTCCTTGCTATCATGGCGAACGGGGAAAAGGTGTAGGCTCCTCTGGGCGGCCATGGTTGAAGGAATGCGTCCACCGCCATGCTCTCTGGGTCCGGCAGCCAGCTGAAGTAGTTGGGCATCTGCTTGTTGGTGCGTGACGCAAACAGATCCAGGTGAAGGGGACCCCTCCTGCGCGATAGACACTGGAAGATCTGCGGGTCCAGTCTCCAGTCGCTGCTGTCTCGCCAGTGGCGTGAGAACCAATCTGCAGTCAGGTTCGTCTCTCCCGGGAGATACTCTGCGATGAGGGAGATGTTGCGTGGTAGGCAGAAGTCGAAGATCCGTTTCGTTATCTCCGAGAGGAGTCGGGATCGTGCACCTCCCAAGCGGTTGATGTAGCGGACCGCAGATATGTTGTCCATCCGGAGGAGAATGCAACAGTTCGACTTGTTTCCTGTTAGGCTGCGGATCGCGAACGAACCGGCCAGGAGTTCCAGACAATTTATGTGGAGGTTGAGGTCTTGGGAGCTCCAAGCACCTCCTGTCGACCTGCCTTCGCAAGTCGCGCCCCAGGCCCAGAGGCTCGCGTCTGATTCCAGGACTGTGTCGGGTGAACTCCCGAAAATGGCACGCCCGTTCCATGCCTCCATGCTGTCCAACCACCAGCTGAGTTCTTGTTTGACTTCCTCCGTCACTGGGATGGTCTGATCGTAGGAAGGGTTCTGGCGAAGGAAGGACGTCTTCAGGCGCTGCATCGCTCTGTAGTGGAGCGGACCCAGGAAAATTGCCTGGATGGAAGCGGATAGTAGGCCTACAATTCGCGCCAAGGTGCGGAGTGGAATGGAGTGGCAACGGAGGACCCGGCGGAGTTCCTTCTTGATGGCTGTGATTTTTGAAGTTGGCAGCCGTAGCGTGCTGGAAGTGGAGTCTATCTCGAAGCCCAAGAATTGTATGGTCTGGGCTGGAGAGATTGCCGACTTCTGGTGATTCACCACAAATCCCAGGGACGTTAGGAATCGGATGGCATATTGCGTGTGTAGAGTCAGTCTGGATTTGTCTGAGCAAAACAGAAGCAGGTCGTCCAGGTAGATAATGCAACGAATGCCTTGTGCTCGTAGATGTGCAACTACCGGTTTTAGCAACTTGGTGAAGCACCATGGGGCTGAGCTGAGGCCGAATGGAAGGCACGTGAACTGCCACGGAAGGCCGTTCCAATGAAACCTGAGGAACTGTCGGCATGAGACGTGGACGGGTACTGACAAGTACGCGTCCTTGAGGTCCAATCTCGTGAACCAGTCCCCGTCTTGAAGGAGGTCTCTTAGAAGGTGGATGCCTTCCATTTTGAAATGTCGGTACATCACGTATGCGTTTAGCTGCCTTAGATTTATGACTGGTCTGAATTCTCCCGTTTTCTTTTTGACCAGGAAGATATTGCTGAAGAAACCCCCTCCGTTTGGAGCGGATTCGATCGCCCCTTTCCTTCGGAGGTCCTGCAGTTCGCCGTCGATGAGTCGGCGGTCCTCCACTGAGCATCGTGTAGCGTGTGGGGAAATAGTCTGGCGCGGGATGTCCACGAAATCGATGATGTATCCTCGCACCGTCTGGTGGATCCAAGCGTCCGTGGAGATGGTGGTCCAGGTCTGAAAATATAGAGCGATACGACCAGCAGTACGAGGGGAAAATGTTACGGGATTCAAAAGGCTGCTTACCTGTGGGGAAGCGTGCTCTGCCACGACCACGTGGTCCTCTGCCTCGGTCGGCTCCTCTGGTATAGGAGAAGGGTTGTCTGAAGCCAACTTCTGGGTAGAAGGGCTGAGGTCTGTGGGAACGGGGGCCTGTGGGCCAGAAGCGGCTGGCAGCACGGCCCCTATGGTGGCCAGCCCGTCCAAAAACACCCCGACTGGGGTAGCCCCTGAAGACTCGCTTCATTGAAGACTGAGCTTTATTCAGGGATGTGAATATGTTAACGTGCTTGTTGAGTTCTTTCAAGAAAGCTTCACCAAACAACTTGCCCTGTGCCAGCGGTCCTAACTCCTTGGTGCCCAATTCCACCAGCTTACCGTCAATGCGGAGCAATGCTGCTTTACGCCTCTCAAAGGAGAGGGCAACGTTGGTGTTACCAACAAAACAGAAGCACCTGTGTGCCCATTCCCTTATATCATGAGCCCATTCTTTTACCATGCTGGTATCAAACTGGTCAGCTCGTTGAAAGGCGTCGTCCGCCAAATACATGATGCGGGCAAGTGGGCCGATGGAATCCAGCAACTTGTCCTGGACTCCGTGGAATCCTTTTTCCACGCCCCTTCGGGGGTCACGGCCGCCCCGAGACATGAATGTGGTCATGACCTGGTCGAATTCGGGTGTCTGAGCCACATGATCGGGGAGTGAAGGGCGAGGACATTCGGAGCGAAGGCGGTTGCGCACCGTCTTGTCCAGTGGTTTGCGGAGCCACCGGTGCATAAACTTGGAGAGGTGATCGGGCGGAGTCCAGTCCGCCGAGCGTGGGTGTCGTATATTACGAGGGTCAAAGAGGCGTTGTCCAGTAGGGTCCAGGATGGCCTCCCCTTCTTCCTGGGCAGATGCGAGGTCATCTGGTAGTTGTATGTCATCCAGGAACGTGCCTCGTAAGAAACCGGTATGGGATCCGGTGTCTGAGCCCCACTCGTCGTCATGTGAGTCGGAATCCGCAGCCTTCCACTCGTCCAGTATAGCCAAGGAGTGCGAGTGGTGAGGGGCGGGGGCAGGTCGGGTTAGCTTATGGCGTTTAGTTGGAGCCTTGCCTTTGCCCGGGACAACAGTCCCCTTTTCGCCCTTCCAGTGGCGTTTAGTAGGCCGCGGGTCGGCTTGTGTCTGTGATTCAGAAGCCTCAGAATCATAGTCATGGGGTGTGGCTTTAGTGGAAGACATGGTGAGATCGGCTGATGCCGTCATGACCCTGGAAAGTGCTTTCTCCATAGATGCGGAGATGGCCTCAGAAATCATAGTCTGAAAATCTGCCGGGTTTTGGGAAGATTCCATGGTGTTTAGGAGTAGGACCGAATAGGTAGTCTTGTGGCACAGGGTGTACGTAGGGCTAGGGGTCAGGCAGCGGTGTTGCACACAGGCAATTATGGTATCAGTGATACCTATAGAACCCCAGCAGGGTATAAGTATATAAATTAAATCTGTAGGAACCCCAGCAGGGTGGACATGTACAGATCAAGTATGTGGTATAAGAATACCAGTTTCCCCAGCAGGGTAGATTGGGATTTATTTCACTGGGCTACACCCAGGTATGTGTATGTATGAGGATGGCACAAAATCCACCTATTACAGGGCTCAAACTGACAATACACATATAGGTGGCACAAAATCCACCTGAAGCAGCAATACTGAAAGGGCCTCACCCAGTTAAATATATATACAGGAAGGTGGCACAGAATCCACCTAATATAAAAGAAATGATAGTGGTCCGCCACTGTATGGGACTGACAGTCCTTAAGGGAGGTTAGGTAGCCAGAAAACTAACCTGCTGCCCCTGCCTGAATAGTGTGTGGCAATATCGTGGTCGGGAGCCGAAATAACGAAGACCGCGGGTCTCCCAAGATGGCGGCCGGAACTCTCGCGAGACGCGAGATCCAATATGGCCGCCGGAGAGACGGGAAAGGGGTTTCCCGCCGTGCCGGCCAGTGATTGCGGCTGAGAGGCCGCGAGGAGAACGGTGAGAGTGGAGGGTGAGCGTTACCCTCAAGGACAAAAACCAACGATCCGATCTCAGGGAAGTGAGGTCGGAGAGTGTCACGAAAGGGCAAACGGAAAGATAATAATAACAATAAGGAGAAAAAATACAATAGGCAAATAGAATAAATATAAATGTAGGTCAGAGGAAAGATGGCAGAATACAAATATAAGTCCCTGAGGGCAGGGAGGGAAAGCAGCAGGGAAGAATCCCTGGGAGGAGATAGTACAAAGTAAAAGGGGGGAACAGAAAGTCCTAAGATAGATAGGGAAGAAAAAACCCCATAAATAAACATCCATGGATAATGAGAAATCATAAAGGTAACATAATACAATACAATTAGGGAAGAGCCAAAAACTCTGACCTGTCTGCTGATGGAGCAGTAAAGAAAGAGGGGGAGGAGCCTTATCTCTGTGAATACTATGCTTCCTATTGCATTTTGATTGGTTAATGTTTTCACTTTTCTTTACTGCTGTGTGAGTTAGTAAAGAGAGTTTAATGCAAAATATGAAGCCTCCTGTCATGTGGTAAAATTATATGTCCCCTGATAGCCCTGATCTGGGTGACCAACATATTCGAATTTCACCCAGATCGGTTCAGGGGTTTGCAAAATCTATGGAAGTCTCTTGTGACTGGCTCACCCTGGGCTGCATGCCCAAAACAGTTCCATGAATTTGGTGGGTTTTGCCGGTCACTTTCGAAAAAGCATAAAAACGAATAAAAATACCAAATGGATCCCTCTGGCTCCTAGCAGCGTCGAATGCACCAAAGTACCGAATAGCTCTATTCTAGCTATTCGGTAAATAGAGTTCCAGCGTTCGTCTGTTTGGGACCGGTGTTCGGGAAGTCGAGTGTCCG